AACAGATTTGCCTTTTCCTGGGAGTGTAAACACACAAAGTGTAGTCTCTCGTGTCTGACTTCTTTCACTTAGCGTACTGGCTTCAAAGCCACTCATGCTGTGCGGGAATCAGTATTCCGTTCCCTTTTTACTGACGATTCCTGTTCCACGGTGTGGACTCGCCACATCACCGGCAGACGGACATCAGGAATCATGTTGCTGTGAATGTTCACATCCAAGCATCTGTGTGGACATTTATTTTGATTTCTCTTGGGTGGACGTCCAAGAGGGGAATTACTGGAGTCAGATGATAAGATTGTGTTTTGCTTTCTTTACGAACTCTGGTAGCTGTTTTCCAAAGTGCCTCTGCTGCAGTGCTGAGGCTGTCGGTTAGACCAGGGACGGGTATACAAAGACGAAAAGACCGCTCCCACTCACAAGCAGCATATTGTCAAACGGGAGAGAAATTATCAGTAAAATTACTGTCCAATGGAGTTACTTCCTCGTAGCACCGAAAAAGTGGGGTCTATCTGGCAATTACACAATCAAGAATGTCTAAAGTGGAAAAAGAGAAAGACAAGGGGTTTATTCCTTCCAACATTTTTTGAGCACCTAAGATGCTTCGGACAGCGGGGATGATTAAATATGAACACGGTCATGCTTCAGAGTTTTGTTCAGCTGGGCAGAACAGAACACCTCACATTACGAGAGCTTACATAACTAGAAACCTGGAGGCAAGGAGTTCAGGGCTTTGCCTGCCTCTCCGTAAAGTCAGCAAGGATTCGGGGACCCCTCCGGGTCTGGTGCCCCAAAGGATCAGGCGCTTGTCCTCAGACTTACAAAACAGGAGAGAGCTCTCCCAGCCTCCGTGCCATCATTCCACTCAAGAGCGAAAGAGAGTGTGCGGGCTGAGTCTGCTAGTTGGCTTAACTGAGTCACCTCCCCGGACCACCCCTACATCCACTGGCCAGAATCGGGTTATGCTGCCCCTGAGGGAGGCCAGGAAATGAGTGTGTTGTCTGGGTGTGCTGCTGTCCTCGGTAAATTAGAAGTCCATTAGTAAGGAAGAAGTGGGGAATAGGTGTTAGGTGAGCAACGCACAGCCCTGCCTCCTTTCCTTCCTGAAGTAAATCATCAAGCAGAGAAAAGAGCTTACCAGAGACAGGAGGCACACGGTAGGTGTTCTGTATACCTTAGTTTGAACTCTCTCCCCTCCTCCTATGAGCTGAACCCATGACAGAGACTTGGGAACAGGTGAGTTATTTGGGAGATGATCTCAGGAAACAGGCATGAGGGAGAAGGGAGAAGAGATGAAGGAGGCCACTGGGGCTCAATGTCACAAGGACATCTGGGCAGCAACGCAAGGCGGCCCTGGATGCCTACACGAAGGACAGGAGGCTGGAGAGTCCACTCGGCGGCTCCAGCCCTAAGTAACTGAGTGTTACCCCAGACGGTGTTCAATCCCCTTCACTCCCAAGCTGAGCTTGATCCAGCTAGGAGGGCCACCAACCCTCCCCCACATCAGGGGAGATCCTGAGACACCATGTGGGGGGGAGCCCTGGACATGGGACCTGGCAGAGCGACTGGAAACTGAGCTCCCGAGGACCTGCCCAGCAAGAGGCCGGTGAAATCCGAGACAGGCTCGGGATGGGAACACAGGCATGAAGGCCATCTCCTCCTCAGAAATAGTTAGGGTGAAAGATAAATCTAATCGTTGTCTCCAATATGATCTCTGGCCAACGCTGTCCCCATTTTGTGGCACAGGGTGTGACTACCAAAGGGGAAATAAAGTGAATAAAGTTCCTAAGATTTGAGGAAATTTGTAAAAAATAAATAAATAAATAAATAAATAAAAAGCAAAGCAAAATAGTTCCCATCTGAGCTGGGTCTTGAAGGCTATGATGTATACATGAGGCACAAAATCAAGGAGGAGCTCTTCAGGCAGAGAGGACACCTAGGTGCATCATCTCATAGATTAAGAATCTCCTTGTTATGGTTTATCTGAACATTCAAAACAGGAACTCCCACATGGGCCAACGATATACAGAAACACTGTAAACGGCCGTGTCTCGCAACTGTTATTAACAGAGCCAACGCCAGTGTCGAAGATTCGATGAATCTGTGCTGTGTCTGTGTGGCTGCCCCAGGAGAGTGGGGGGTAGCATTTAGGGAACCCCAAATCAACACTCATTAGCAGAGCCGGCACCCAAGGCTGCAGGTGTGCAGCGGCCGTCCTCACCGGCTCCCTCGAGCCCAGCCCACACCATCACCGGGCACTGACAGACCCGCAGGTGATGGATAACCTCGATTTTCTAGCTTTGCAGGAAACGCCGGTGCCCCTGAAGCCACAAGACAAGACAGGGTGAATACACCTCTGCGTGTGTCCTGAGGGCCAGGAGAAGTCCCTGAAACGATGAAGATTGTGTTCTTGCCCAACCTGGAAGATGGGTGGTTTCACAGCAAAAATCAAGTTGCTCTGCTGAGAACAGAGAGAAACACTTGTGTCTTGTGCCCCCAGCCACGCTGAGAAAAAGCCTTTTTTATTTTAGTAGAAACTGTCAAACGATGAGACTATTCACAAGCACGAGGATTGCCTGCAAGAGCGCTCTCCATATTCTCTCCTGAATCTGGTGTCTAATTCTTGCTAACCTAATCGGAAAAACTGGTTTCAGCGTCTAGTTTGGATTTGGATTTCCCTAATGCCCCAGAAGCCTGGACATCTTTCACGTGGTTGCTATCCACTTTTACTTGCTCTCCAGTAGATTTCTATTCATATCTTTGGCCCAATATTCTAAGAGGTAATTTCATCTTTTTCTTATTAATCAGAAAGTCCTCCTTATCTATTAGAGATAGTAAGCGTTCATTGCCAATGGCAAATATTTTCTTCCTGTCTTCTGATGTTGCCTACAGTGTTTTTTTTTCCATACTCTAAATTTTGGATTGCCCATCTCGGCAAGAAAATCTCTCCCTTCCACAACTTTATAAATATTTTAAACGTTCTTCTATTTCCTTATGCGTATTTCTTCTATCTCATACACACACACACGCACACACAAAGTTAGATAACAGATGAATCATTAATCCATCTGGAATGTGTGTGTGCATGTGTGTGCACACGTATCTGCGTGGTGTGTGTGTGCGGTTGTGTATCTGCATAGTGTGTGTGTGTTTCCATGGTGTGTGTGCGCACATGTATCTGCATGGTGTATGTGTGCACATGTATCCACGTGGTGCATGTGTGCACCGTTGTGTGTCTGCATGGTGTGCGTGTCTGCATGGTGTGTGTGCGCGCATGTGTGTGTGTGCATGTGTGTGCATATATATCTGCGTGGTGTGCGTGTGCACCATTGTGTCAGCCTGGTGTGTGTGCGTGGTGTGTGTGCACAGTATGTGTGTGTCTGTGTGTCTGTGCGGTGTGTGTGCACATGTGTAAGGGCAAACGGACCCTGTGTTTCCAGAGTTCACAGGATCCTCACGTGCAGCACCAAATGTGACATGAACCAGGTACTGAAGTCCATTGCTAAATTCTGTCTTCTACATTTTCCTGCTTAAAAGGCATCTCAGTCCTCCCTGCTACTTAAAAAGGAAAGAGAGGCTCCCTGCCCATTGCGTCTCCCACAGTTCCATGGCCAGACACTCTCAAATCTCTACAACACTTCCGCCTGAACATCTCTGCTTCTATCCTCCCCTGCTCCCATGCCACATGTCCCCCTGGCCCTCCTCCTAATTCCAGCTACTATCATCTATCCCAGACCTCTGAAGCCCCGGCCTCCCTCGTTCCTTGCCCCTCCCCTTCCAATCCTTTCTCTACCCTGCAACTGGGAGTCTTTCTAAGGCTCAGCTCCCTCTCAACACCCCACTGCCTAAAGGCCTTTCTTCCACAGGCCCCCACTGCCTTCAGGAGACACTCCAAACTCCCACGTAGGGGGGATGCAGGCACTTCCCAACTTTGGTTTAAAAAAAAAAAGAAAGAAAACCTTTGCAGCCTTATTTCTCAAATTGTGTCTCCCAGCTCTATACTCTGGCCAAACTCCTTTCAGGTCCTCAAAAACACCAAGCTTCCTTATAACATATAAATCACAGGGATAAAAAATCCAGCATAGGGAAGGAATGTGGTCAGTAATACTGTAATAACATCACCTGGTGACAGAGGGTGACTATAGATATCGGGCCAAATGGTGGGTAACACAGAGAATTCTTGGGTCATGATGTCGTACACCTGAAACTAACATAACCTTGTGTGTCAACTGTACTTCAGTTGAAAACAAAACAAAACAAAACTACCAACCTTCCTTTTCGGTAGCTCTCAAACCTGGTTACACCCCAGCTCACCTGTCAAAAACCGAACACACATTAGTCCAGTTCCTGCCCCTGGTGATCCTGATTCAGGAGGTCAGGTGGGTCCCTGCACCCACATTCTGTGATGCTCCCCACAGCCACTGCTCTTTGTCTCCAGGTCTGGGATATGTGACTCCCTCTCCCTGGGACCCTCCTCTACCCCTCCAGCCTCCGCCCCACGTCACCGCTGTCTATAACCTCTTCTTCCACCAAGTCAAGGCTTGGTGCTCTTTCTTTGACCCTCCGGGTTAGGGCCCACACACGCTCCCAGCCCCATGGCCTGCATCATTGTGCATTCGTCACAATGAAATATAAAGTCCTGACTTCTCGTCTCCCACCTCAGACGCCAAGTCTAGGGGAAACCAGGATGGCATGCAGGTCTAGTTCACCGTCACTTTCCCTACACCCAGCAGAGACCCGACCCACAGCAGGTGCTCCATAAACGATGGCTATTTTCTAAGACAACAGATGAGCAGACCGGAGAACTGAGCACCTGTGGCAGTTTCCCCGAGAACAGACGGCTCGGCCAAGGCAGCACGCAGTTAGCAGTCTGGCCAGCAGAGGGCACCAGCCTGCTGCTCAAGCTCCCAGCCCACGCGGGCGCTGTGGTCAGTCAGAGGCGCCAGAGTGATGCTCAGTGGTCCTCTCGCTGCGCTGCAGATGAAGTAGGAGGAGTGTGTCCGCAGCCCGGCCGTGAAGCCTGAGTGCTCCCCCCTCACTTCTAGCAACAGGTACCATGGGCCCAGTCCTGCTATGAACACAGCTGAAACTCTGGCCACCGGTGGCAGGTCTTCCATTCCCAGCTTGGGGTGTCGGAAGGGGTGAGAAGGAAGGAAGAAAGACGACGACACAGAAGAGTGTCCGTAAAACTGCTTGTCTTGGAGAAGCGAGGGAAAGTTCTCTGGGCTGTGTCGCAGCTGACTTTCCCTCCCTCTCCCTCAGTCCGGACTGCACAGGCACCTGCCCCCAGCACCCGGAGGGAGATCCCCGGCCGTCAGCAGCAGCAGGTTCCGAACGCTGCCGGAGCCCCTGCTCCCACCTGTCTGTGAGCAATGAACACTTCGTGCTGCCTGCTGTCTGCTCAGCCAACCGTGCCCAACAGCTCAGAGCAGCTCACCGGCCCCTCCCTCAGCAACCAGAGCAGCAGCGGGTTCTGCGAGCAGGTCTTCATCAAGCCCGAAGTCTTCCTGGTGCTGGGCATCGTCAGCCTGCTGGAGAACATCCTGGTCATCCTGGCCGTGGTCAGGAACGGCAACCTGCACTCGCCCATGTACTTCTTCCTCTGCAGCCTGGCGGTGGCCGACATGCTGGTGAGCGTGTCCAACGCCCTGGAGACCGTCATGATCGCCATCGTCAACAGCAACTACCTGACCTTCGAGGACCGGTTCATCCAGCACATGGACAACGTCTTCGACTCCCTGATCTGCATCTCCCTGGTGGCCTCCATCTGCAACCTGCTGGCCATCGCCGTGGACCGGTACGTCACCATCTTCTATGCGCTGCGCTACCACAGCATCATGACCGTGCGGAAGGCGCTGGTCTGGATCGCGGCCATCTGGGCATGCTGCGGTGTGTGCGGCGTGGTGTTCATCGTCTACTCCGAGAGCAAGATGGTCATCGTGTGTCTCATCACCATGTTCTTCGCCATGCTACTCCTCATGGGCACACTCTACGTGCACATGTTCCTCTTCGCCCGGCTGCACGCCCAGCGCATCGCGGCGCTGCCCCCGGCCGACGGGGCGGCCCCGCAGCAGCACTCATGCATGAAGGGGGCTGTCACCATCACCATCCTGCTGGGGGTGTTCATCTTCTGCTGGGCCCCCTTCTTCCTCCACCTCATCCTCATCATCACCTGCCCCACCAACCCCTACTGCGTCTGCTATGCCGCCCACTTCAACACCTACCTGGTCCTCATCATGTGCAACTCCGTCATCGACCCGCTCATCTACGCCTTCCGGAGCCTGGAGCTGCGGAACACGTTCAGGGAGATCCTCTGCAGCTGCGAGCCATGAACCTGGGCTAGGGCGCCAGGGCCGGGGGAGTGGGCACCGGCGGCTCCATCGCAGGCGAGCCCCCAGCCAGCCAAGCGAGGTGTTTAGAAAAAAGAAGAGGGGGTAGAGAAGTCCTGGGTAGACTTAAAATGGGTCAACAGCCATAATCGGTATGTCTTTTCTCTTTGCACTTGCAAAGTCTTCGAAGGGGAAAATGGTACATAACGGGCTTTCTCGCAGGACTCTGCGGTAGGTAAGTCACTGATCTCCCAAAGAGGCCCCGGTCGGACTCAGTGAGGGCAGCTCGGGGTGCTGCCTGCCTTCACATCCATGCGCTCGGGGTCTGTAACGCCCACCTGCTCCCTCCTGCGTCCTCCCCGTGCCTCCCTGCCACAAGTCAGACAAGACGGAAGGGTTTTCATCGGCTCTGAGAGGGATTCGAATGTCTCCCCAGCAAACCTGCCACAGTTCTGGCTGTCAGCTGCTCAGATGGTCTTGTCCTTATTTCAGAAGAGACTGGGTTTCTAGTCTGCAACCCTATTTACTGTGAAACAATGGTCTAAAAAATATTGAGCTCCATGTGGAGGAAGCGATGCTACGTCTGCCCCTCTCCTCAACGCCCCAGACCAGCCTCCCCCCAAAAACGAGCATAGGGATATGACCTGCTTCTAGTTTGGCTGCTTCTGCTACTGCTCTCAGGTTCTTATGCAGTAAATCTAAGGCAGCTTTCAAAATTCTAATGAAAGACAGAGATAGTGCTTTGGAAAATCAGCTCTGTATACCTGTGTACCAAGCATTTTGATACCTTGCTGTTTAAAGGTATAAATTTCCCTATTTAAAAAAAAGCCTTTTTCTTATTATTCCTTTTCTGTCATTAAAGCAAGAGAGGGAATCACGGATGGGAGGGCATGTGCCTCAAGAAATGGCTTTCCTATAGTTTCAGAGAGTTTCAGAAACTGTGGAAATGCCCGTGGCTTTCTCAGAAGCTCTGTTTCTGCTCCCCGTAGCTGTGTCTCTATCACCTGATCTCCGGAACTGTCTGTGAGACAGAAATTTCTTGGTTCACTGCTCCTTTTTTTCAGCATAGTGTGAAAGGAGGGGTGACCCGGCTCTCAATGGCTGTACCTTATCAAGCAAAGCATCTCATCCCCATGAGCACAGGGCGAGCTCTGCTGACCAGCGCTGTCGGCGTCTGCTGGACGTCCATCACTGCGCCCCACTCGGCCCCGTCAGACCCCTTCCTGCCCTAGAGAACTTCACATGCTGCTGTCTGGCTGCCCTCATGCTGCCCCCACCTCCAACCAACAACTCCCCAGTGAATTCTTACAATATGCTATGTACAATTGTGTATCTTTCTTGTGCTGGAATATACTGTGGGTTTTTTTGGTACTTGAAGACATCGTGCCAATATAAGCAATATCACTTGTCTCTTGCTTTGGTTGTGGCATTGGAAATAATAAACGGCTTTTGCAGCTGCTAATGTGTGACACATTAAACTATGCCACCCGGAAGCATCCTGGTGACTTCTGCACATGGCCCTCACCCCTTACACTGTAATTCTGAGTCTTTTGTAAATGGCATAAACACTGCCATTGACCACGGTGCTCAGCTTTTCTAGGGCAATGCCTGTTAGCCAAACTACAAAATTCTCCCATTTAGTTTCCAAAAATACCAGGCTGTAGTTCCTGGGTCACTGCCACTCTCCATTATTCTAATCGAGACGCCAAATAATAGGTCTTGCCCATGGCCACTCAGCTAGCACACGCGGGAAATGGGGAATCAGATTCTTTAAAAACTGTATTATCAGCTGTAAAAATTATGATGTCCTTTTTCTATGTAAACAAGACAAAAATAACTTTTCAGTCTCTGATATCAGCTCTCACATTACTTCACTTTACCCTCTCCACAAACTTCCCAAATAGGTGAGTCCTTTTACAGGTGAGGAACCTGAGCAGGAGGATAACGTGGCTTTCCAGCCACGCCCAGCGGGTTAGGGTCACGGTGTGTTTTGAGTCTCGGGGATGATGTCTTTTTGCACCACCACGATGTAGGCAACAGGTTTCCACATTCAGACCTGACTCAGCTCTCCTTCCTGTACGTATTGTAGCTTACAGTAGCGCTTCCGGATGTAAATGCCCACAGGAATCACCTGGGATCCTGTTCGAGTGCAAAATTTCAATCACCAGGTCTGAGGTAGAGCCTGGGATTCCGCATTTCGGAGCCGGACAAGCCCCCAGGAGATGCAGCTGTAGGCCTGGGGACCACCTTTCACAAACCCAGGGCACAGAAGACTTTCAAAGGAGCATAACAGAAACCCGAAAGTACTCATCGGCCTGGAGTGCTGACCCCGTGCCAAGAACCACGTTAAGGACTGGACAGGCATCTCTTCTCTGACCCTTGCAATAACGCCAGGAGACAGATGCCATGATCACTGTTATTCTGAAGACAAGGCATCTCAAACTCAGAGATTAAGGAGCTTGTCTATGAAAATTCAGCTAGCAAGAAACGAAGGAGAGGTTCAAACAGGCTGCCTGACCTGCATCCCCAAGTCCAACGCCAATGCCCTAGCATTGGAACCATGACCCAATGACATGAGAGGCAATGTGCTGCCATGGAGGGAGACTTGTGCATTTTTCTATAACCCACAAGTCCAGAATTTCATAATAGAGTTTCCATAGAGATGTCATAAAAACCAAGAACCAATTAATAATTTTATTTGCTCTCCTTTTCCAAAGCCTGTGGGTAGGCCCAGGGAATCCATCTCTTACTGGGGGCGGGGGGGTGAACAACATTAGGTTGGCGGCCAAAGCCTGTTCATGTGGGAACCCACCAGACATTTTAAGCAGCAGGAGTCAGGTTTGAAAATGCTTAATTTGGGGAAATAAAAGCTCATCATGATTTTGACTCATGTGTTAAGTTGATCTCACCTTTCACTCCCATTCCCAAGGTAAGATCACTGCAGTAGCTGACTCCCTGGGTCTCTGGAAATGGTCACCTGTTGTCCTTACTTAAGTTGGACTTTTGTGCTTAATTCCTATGGGGCTGGGGGCTACCACATACTTAAGCCTCCTTGGCTTTTGAAAACCTTCACCCACCCTCACCTCCACCAAAATCCATTCTCTACACAGCAGCCAGCACAATTCTTTAAAAATACAAATCAGATCATATCACACTCTTACTCAAAACTCTTCAGCGGTTTCAAATAAAATTCCACTTCCTTACCTGGCCCTACAGAGCCTTAAAGATCTGACATCCTCTGGTAAATACCGCACACCCTCCTGCCGACACTTAACCACCCCACTGGACTCAAAGTCACCATACTCATTCTTGCCCCAGGGCCTTTGCACCTGCTATATCCGCTGCCTCAAGCCTCTTCCCCCATATCTTCCCATGCTTGGCACCTTCTTATCGTTCAGGCTTCAGCTCAGTCCTCTGAGATGCCTTCCCTGACTACTCTTTCTCAAGAAGACCCCACACACTCATGCGAGTGTTTATTATTTTATAAAATGGCAACAAGATCTGTGATATCTTCTTATTAGTTTATTCATTTAATTATCATCAATCTCTCCCACTAGAAAGCAGGGCCCAGCATCCAAAACTGGTCAATCGGGCACCTGGGTGGTTCAGTGGGTTAAAGCCTCTGCCTTCAGCTCAGGTCATGATCCGGGGGTCCTGGGATCGAGCCCCACATCGGGCTTTCTGCTCAGTGGGGAGCCTGCTTCCCTTCCTCTCTCTCTGCCTGCTTCTCTGCCTACTTGTGATCTCTGTCAAATAAACAAATAAAATCTTTTAAAAAAATAAAAAACTGGTCAATAAAGCAGCTTATCTTTGAAATATGGCACATGGACTTAAATATGAGTTCAAGTCTAACCAAATAGAATATGCCTGCAGTGCTCAGATTTGGGTATCAGTACCAAACATGGAGACTGAGAAAAACAGCCCCATCCCTGAAACTTACAATCCAGCAGATCAGAGGTAATGCCAAGGCATCAGAAATCTTCAAAATCCCCAGGCAATTACGATGCACAGCAAACTATGAGAACCACCTAGACCCATAAATACTGCTCATTTCTGAAGAATAGCAAAAACCAGCACCCAGGGGCTTAAGTTTCTTTCCCATCACCATTCCCCGTCAGGGTGTCAAGCACCTGCAGTTAATGTCGGACCCTCCAAGAACCAACGACAAAAATCTAGAAGCTGGGAGCACCAGCACCAAATGCAGAATAAAAGGAAAACTTTCAGTTGAAGAACTCAACCTTTCCCACCTAAGAACATCTATGTGGGAGCCAAATCAACAGAAAGCATAATAATTAGATACTATGTGGTGCTAATATGTGCCTGACATTGTGCTAAGTGTTCTGATACATTAATTCGCTGAATTGTCACCAAAAGCCTAGGCGCTAGGCAATACTCCTGTTGTGGCCAACAGAAAAGGAAGCCGGATAGGGGAAGAGGTTAGTCATCCTAACCCACGCGCCCGAGACAGTGAGAGACAGCACCGGACCCCGCAGCCACTGTCAGGCTCCACAGCCCGTGCGTGAGCCCAAGTGTCAAGCCACCCCAGCTGTGTGTTCCACATTGACCGTGAACCAGCGTGTCATCCGGAAGGCCTGGGCGCAGATTCTCTCTCCCCTCAACGCCGGGAGGAGAACAACTCACGGAAGGCTGTCTTTACATCTCCAAGCTGCATCAGTGACATTCAGTGAGTCCCAAGGGTGTCCCGTGACTCAAACGCATTTATTCAGAAAAATCCGGGTGCCCAGCACTTGACGGCTCTGGGTAAAAGTCACTAACATCACCGATAGCTAAAGTTTAGAGAGTATTTCTTTATGTGCCAGACATCGTCCTGGGCACTTTACATGGGATCTCGTTGAACCTTCACAACTATCTTCTAAGACCGTGCTTCTCAACCAGGGACCGTGCTGAGCCCAGGGTTCATCTGGCGACGTCTGCAGACACTCTGCGGGTCACATCTAGGGTGGAGTGGTCCCGGCATCTCACAAGTAGTGGCCAGAGCTGCTGCTAAACTCCCAACACGCACGGGACAGGCCCCCCCACCCAAGCTGATCTGCCCCAAATGGCAGCGGAGCGGAGCTTCAGCAGCCTTGTTGTAAGGGGAACAACAGCCGTCCTCACCAGGAGAGGACGACAACGAGCTTCCCCAAGATCACACTGCTTCCAGAGAGCACGAGCACGGAGCCCAGGCACGGCCCACCATTAATTCAGCACATGCAAGGTGGCCTCCTCTGTGCCAGCCCCTCCCAGGTGGGCAGGGGGATGGGGCCCTGCCCCACC